TTCAACGAAGAAATGAACTTCTGCAAAAACAAACAAAACTTGTTTCCTTTGGGAACAGTCACAAACACATGTTTCTTCCTTCTCAACTGCCACTCAATCACATTACAACATAGCAACCAAATAGAAGCTCTGTTCTGTTTGGGAGAAGGGTTGTTGATCACTATACAGTGGGGCTGCAATCTCTCCAGTTGCTGCCAAATACCATCTTGACCCTTCATAGTGGAAAAGTTGTATCCTGCCTTGAAATCCATAGGAGATGCAACTTTAACACCATTCTTTGAAAGGAACCAAGATAATCCACTGTTTCCATGAAGTAACTCAACAACATCAGGATGATCATCATTACAGAAGAAAAAGGACTGTTCTCCAAATTCGGCATCAACATACAGTTCGTGATCTTCACGTAAGTTCTCCGGATTCTCATCGTCTAATGCCGGTATGGAAACATCATGCCACTCATCGTGATCGCGTCTAACCTTTGACTGATTCACACGTATCACTGCCTTACCAGTATTGGCTTGGACCATAGCTCCTTCTTGTCCAAGTACTGTGGCACGAACCCAACGTCCTTTATCCTTGAACTTTGATGAATCCTGAGTCCAAACAAAAACCTTCTCTCCTTGGAAATAAGGACCGTCACTTGGCATAGTCCTTCTTGCAAGATCTGCTCGAAGGTCCTGAGCTTGTCGTGCTTCTTGATGAGCTCTCAAAGCCACACGTTGTAGTTCCAAATTTGTACGATCTTGTGCGGCGGCGTTAGCTGACAATTGCTCAGGGCTTGCGGTCTCAAGGTCAAAAAGATCTGGTGGACGTCTTCCAGTTGCTATCTCTATTGGTGAATATCCACTGATAGTCAACTGACAATTTCTTGCCCAAACTACCTTCTTGACCACTTCTCTGACCGTAACACCACGAAAACGTGGGTCATCCAGATCTACCTTCATAACATGCCACATACGTTTGAACAAACGTACAGCTGTCTCTGCTCGGTTCGGCCAAGGAGTTCTTGGCCCACAAGGACATTGTTGTATACCATGGAACCTGTAGTATTCAACAAAAGCATCGGTGAAAAAGGCTTCGTCTCCTACGATGGCCTTTGGAACACAGTTGTTCTCATCAGACCATTGCCTCAATGCTTGGATGGTGGTTTGATCTATGAGGTCTTTCTGTGCCGTAGCCCAGAGAAGATTTGTGGCACCATCAAGAACAAGTAAGATGATATACTTGTTCTTGTGAAGTTCAACCTCACAATGATCAGCAAAAACAACATCACCAAAACATGAAGCTCTAATACCGGAGACTCTGGCTCGTGGCGGAGGTGCCACTGAAGTGTTACAAACACGGCAGTTCCTGACAACTGATTCATACTTCTCTAAAACAGAGTCAGGAAGCTTCAACATAGAAACACGTCTACGAAACTGAGTAGGACTCATATGGTAGTGCTTCACATGAAGCTTATAAAGCTCTACCTTGTCCTCCAGTCTCTGTAACATCTTCCTATATGCCGGTGTCATTGCAACAACTTCACTACCAGGTAATGGGATTGAAATCCGCCTAGGCTCAAGAGCGCCATCACCTGGTTCAAGTGGTTCATGTTTATCACTTGATGGTCCTTTTGATGCTTTAGGAATTTCTACAAGTTCACCTTCTGGCCTCTCAGGTGGTTCTGAGGGAGCATACTCCTCAAGATCATCACCCTTTAAATCATTCTGAGGCTCAGATGGTTTCGACTTGTGTCCCTTCCAAAATGGATCAAAACCCTTGGAAGTATACCGAAACTTTGGCGGCACGGGCTTTTCCGCGGCACTTGATGGTGCACCTTCCTTCTCTGACGAGAAGCCTGGTTCCCTGTCCTTTGCAATGGGAACCTTCTCTGAGGAGGAGCGCACCACTGCATCGGGATCACCAATGCCACGGTGCTCAACGCCAGCCTTCCTGATCTTTAGATCTGGAATTTTGGCATCTGGTTTGAACTTAAAAATTGTTCTACCACGCCATTCATAGCCAATTTGTAGGTCCTTCCATTTTGCCTTGCGCCAATCATCTAGCTTCTTGATTTCTTCTCCTCCTTTCTTCTTCTTGATGATTGTCAGTCGCAAGTCTTCCAGTAAGTCAGTGTCTACAGGACAGGACTTAGTTGCTGGAAAAAGAATCTTTCTATAATCCTTGTGGTGACGTATCAGTTCTCTCTTGTGAACATCTACTTCCCAGTAGTCAACCACAGGATATGCATGTTCAGCTACATCTTCATCACTATTGTGATCAACAGAAATATGACCATATTCATAGTGAGTGAAGTGAGAGTAAAAACTCTTCTCGCGCCGAGTCTGCAAATTCACGTCAGACAGATACCATGCAATATCTTGGAAGTCCAAGACAAGATGAGTACTGGCTGCAACCTTCAACTCCAAATATTTGATACCAAGAGGCACCGATGTCAGATAAGCATGTTGAGGTGTCAGCCTGAGTTCAAAGCCTAAGTTCCTCATCTGTGGCAAGCTCATAAGCAAAGGGACTTCTCCTTCTTCCACTATGTCGAACTCTGTATGGTGGATCGTCCATGCACGATCATACATGTAAATCACCAGTTTCTGAGAGCAAGTAGCCTTCTGGGAATTGGCAAAGTAAAACTTGCTCTTGGTAGCCTCAAAAGAGTACCATAATCCACAATCTGGGTGATTGTCGACATAGTTGCAAAAATGGTCGACTGCTCGCCTTGATCCCATAGCTCTAGTGCATCCAATGTCCAGGATTGCAATAGTCGGCGGGAAGCGATTCTCAGTCAAAAATGAAATGGCCTGCATCTCCTTCACTTCTTCCTCAGCGCTCATAAGCGCAAAGCCATCAGGAGCCTTTGTGAGCATCTCCTTTGACAAAGAGTACCTCACAGGGGCACTCATGCCATTGAAGATCTTCTCACCATTGTTGACCGCGCAGTCAGCTTCATCTTGACATGAGGTCATCATGCCTGACAGCAAGTTCACCTCACTGTCATGGACTTCAGCTGCTGCTGTCACACAATGTGCAAAGAAACCTTGTTGACCTCCTGATGCTTGTGAAGATCTTGAAGGTGCAGGCAAAGAACGTGGCTGTTGTTGATTTGCATAGTTTGCATCTTGTTTGCCATCTCCTTTATCTTTTCCTTTTCCTTTCTTGCCTTTTCTCTTGCCTTTTCCTTTTCCTTTGTGGGAAAACCATGCTTCTTCAAGCTGTTGCCAAAAGTCATTGGCATCATCATATTCTCCTTGAAGATAGTCATTCATATCTTCGGCAAGAATGGCATCATATGCTACTTGGTTTGACTCCCAAGTGTCCTCATAAGGATTCTCTTCATAATACTCATCTGGAAAAGTTGTCTGTTGCTCATCAGCAAAATGGCCTTTACCTCGTCTCTTTCCTTTTCCTTTTCCACGAGGTCTGAAAAATCTGCGGCCTGATCTTCCTTTGCCTTTTCCTTTTCTTCTACCTTTTCCTTTGCCTTTTCTGGCTCTTCTTCCTTGGAATCTCCTCTGGAACCAAGAGAAATTCTGTTCATCATATACCCAAAAGACATCCTTCTGTTCCATCTTCTTCATCTTCGGCCCAATAGCCAAATGTACCATCGAGTTCTCCTTCTTCCATCACGAGGAATGATCTTCTACCTCCAGCACCTGTCGGCTGCATCAAAGGATTGTCTACTGAAGTCTTTGTCGTGCAGAACATCTCAATGAAAACTGTCCTCAGCTCTGTTGTAGTGTATTGCTGCAGGACCCTGCCACGATGAGTCATCAAAGAAGTCAAAGTGTTTCGCTGGTCCTGAGACAAATCTGCAAGTGACAGCATGAGTAAGGCAATGAGATTTTCTCCTAGAGGAAATTCGTTCTGATGAAAAGTCCTCATATTGCCATTGATGGTCTGCATGATTTCCTGAATCCTTTCTGCCGTTGGTGCTACTCCAGTCAACGCTGCATCTGCCTGCATCTGAGCTAGGACCTGTGGATGTGCTTGAGTGACTGGTTCTAACATGTCCATCCAACTGCTCATAAGCCTTTGGAGTAAAATCTGGAATCTTGTCATCCATTTCATCATGTCAGCTGATCCTCGATTGAAGCGCACGAATTGCATGAACCTATACAGGAATACATTGGTTGATCCTTTCACGAAATATGGTCGTAGTACTCGTTTGAAATATTCTACGCCGGCTCCTGGTGGATCATTTGCCTTCAATGCATCTCTGTCTAAAACACGCTTGTATACAGCTGCTTCTCCTTCTAATCTGTTTCTCAATGCTGGTCCTCTCTTCTCATCTTCCAGCTCGGTGATATCACACCAATCGTCTATGGCATCCTCATAGGAAAACCATGAAGTCTTTCCATCATAAGATGGGGGCACCTTTGTAGTGACCTGTGTTGTCATTGCTATTGCTGCTGGTTCTCTTCTCACATGCCTATTCACATAGGCTGCTGGCTCATAAGCCACATCCGCATCAGGCTCTTCCCAGTCGTCTATCCAATCCATGGCTGTTTGCCCACTAGCAAGTCTATGCCTAGGAAAGGAGCTCACCTGGGTCTTCCAGGATCACTGCTCCGCTACCACTGAAAGAGTGACTAGGGCGTACACGGTAGAGGTGCAGACCGCTAGTGTCTTTTATGCGCAGAGTCTTATCCTCTTGCTCTTTGAGCCTTGAAGCAGTCAAGTATGGACACACTATATCGGCTGTTGGAGTGGAACCCTGTACAGGTAGGCTCTACTTTTCAGGGGGGGGGAATTGGAAGTTACATTTTTCAGGCCCCCCCTCAAAACAATGGTTAAGGGGGTGGGGATTTCACATCATGGATGAGGCGCCAGTATGCAACGGTCCACGAGCAGTTGGTCGTTCACGTGATTTCACTGGTTTCGCTCCCCTTCAACCTTTGGTTTCACTGGTTTCCCCCCAAAAAGACCCGGCCTTCGCTCCCCTCCCCTCCCCTCCCCTCCCACCGCGAGCACCGCTAGGATCGGCCCGTCCTAAGCGACCGGACTACCCGATGCGATGCTCTCGAAGCACTTCTCCGCATCGCACACCACCTCAAGGCGCGACCGCGCGCGGAGAACGGAGAACGGTGAAGCCTGCTAAACCCTGCGGACCCTACGTATGAATCCATCAGGATCACAGGGGGCTCCTCCTGGAAGTACCAAGACTGTAGTAGCCAGAAACCCGTGAGTGAATTCTTCTACACAGCAGACGCGCCCCTCTGACCGAACGCAACGGTCCCCTGGGCATTCCGGCTCTGAGCGCTTCCTCCAAGCGCCCTCGGAAACCCAAGACCTGCGCGCGCCAAAACAAGGCGCCAGCACCTGGGCGTCAGCCACACGAAAGACACAGCGAACACACCAGCTGAGTGACTGCAGCGTCACTCCAGAAACTGCTGAGATGACCAAAGGTGACCCCCAGCGTCGTTTTTCAGATTTTAGAGGTCTGACATACTCTGACCATGATCATTTCAAGACTGACCTTCCAACATGACCATGTTGGAAGAGATCAGGCAGGTCACCATGCCAAGTCTCACCACTCTGAGGCTGCACACGGAGCTGCTTGCTGCCCAGGTGGCGACCTCGGGACCGGTCGGCTCCATGTGCTGACCGGGGTCTGTCCAAGGCCTAGGGACCGGGTCCTACAATCACTTCTCCAGCCACAAAAGTCATTTCCAGGAGTGTCCCCAACAGTTCATGTTTCTGTGATTTTCTGTGGAAGACCCCCACCCAGGTGAGCTTCGAAAGCTGGGAGGGAAAGCTGGTGACACCCGGATGGCTCCCACATGGGGCTGAGACGGATCCTTCCCTCGGCTCCCTCGCAGGCGGTGATGGCATCGTTCACGGCTCGCATGGCCTCGGGGGTACGGAGGTGGCGCGGATAGCGCGTGGCGCCACGAACTGGACCAGTTGGGGAGAATAGGGTTGATAGGGCTCCTGAAACACCAGGCAGCAAAAAGCTTGTTGGTGCTGTTTTTGGTTCGAGGAGTGAAGATGACTGCCATCGCATGGTGGAATTGGATCTGTTGAATTCATGATTGAGTCAATAAAGATCTCAAGTTCGATCCTCAAGAAAACCTCCCAACTCATAGGGAGACATCCCACTGCGCTTTTGGTCCCTATAGTCTTGCCTTTTGGCATGTACCCTGACTCGCCTCGCCTTGGTTTTGGGGCCCGGAGCTCCCGGCGTTCCATGTACAAGCGCCAGAGGGAGACGCTCACCGCCGTCTAAGGCCACCACTCGCTCCGCTGAGGTCCGGTAGGAAAAGGAAGCCAGTGCCTCACAAGCGAGCTGAGCTTGCTCGTTTTGGGCCGAGCTCGCACCAGCTCGCTTTGTGGGGGGGAAGAAACGTTGGATCTGACAGAGCTCAAAACCTCCCAATGGAAGCAGAAGCAGAGCCGAATTCGAGCCTGCTTCCCTACCCTTTTGGATAACTCAACAGTGGTTGCACAGCACAGCAACCCCAGGCCGATTGGGCATCCGCTTTCCCGGCCTCTTTGGTCTCTCCCTCAGCCTCATTGCTCATCTTCTTCAGACAAGCCTGGGACCCAACGCCAGGTGAAGGGAAACCTCCCAAAAGGCCGCACCCCGCGGGAGGAATGGAATGGCCGCACCCCGCGATCCCTTCTGTCTCGCTTCTCGCTCCTCTCAAGCGGTCCAAGCGCCGCGTGGCGCGCCACGCGTGGTCGACCGCGCGCCTGAGCGAGGTGGACGCAGGCCACAGATTCGGCGGCCTTGTCGCCGACCTCTTGGAAGATCTTCTGCGCCTGTGCCGCGTTGGCGCGGAGCCAAGGTGGGACGGTTGAGCCAGCTGGGTGGTCTGATTGCCGAAGAAAAGGGGTGTGTGTCTTCAGGGGCAAACTGCACAGTGGGGAAGGGGGTTGAGCTGGGTCTTAAGCTGTGGAGTGACAGCCACTAAGCCATACTTAGAGACTCAGCCTCTAAGCCATGCTTCTCTGCAGCATCGTAGTCCTTAGTCCATGCCAGAATAGAAGACAAGCCTTCAGTGGGTCAAAGGAATGCCCTAGGGCTTTGCCCTGCAAAATGGATATTGCCATAGAATCTCGTGCGCTTCTATGTTTGGTTGAGGGTTACAGCTAGGACCGTGAAGAGAGCCAACCAACAGACCTGGGACCCCGCAACCACCAGACAAGAACTCTTCCATAGGATCAGAACTCTGAGTTTGCTGCTGTACTGCCCAGGTGAATTCGAGCCTCAGCATCGAAAACACAACTGCAAGCCCGAGCCTTCTGGATCCTCCTTGAATCTGCTACTGGTATGTGCCGGTGTCACCCAACAAGCAACCTGCTTGAACCATGTCATGTCAAGAAAATCCCTTGCTTGACCCTCTTCCCCCAACCGATCAAAGAGCCACGTTGTCCGGTGGAAGTCGTCCGAATCGGCTCCCCCGCCAGCTGTAGCACCGCATCGCCCTCTTCCTGACTCCGGAAAGCCGGGGAACGGGAACGGAAGACCCGAACCCGAAACCGGTGGTGGTTGGTCCCCCGTGTCCCAACGGAACGAGTGCGGCCAGCTGAGTGGAAGAACCGAACTCAACAGGACTCCGAAATGGAGGGTTGGGAAGGGCGCCCCTTCAGACAGGTTTCAATTTGGTGACCTGTTGGCCGTCGGTGCTGGAGATCACACCCTGAAACCAGGGGGAGGTCTCGTTTCATCCCCTACATCCGGTCGAACGTGGCCGCCGGTCGAGGCCTTGGACGTATCTACACCTCCACCAATTTGAATGGATTTTTTTGGGAACATCTATAGAGGAAACCCTGGTGTTCACCCCCAAAAAACTATGGTTTTCTGTAGATGTTCCCTTAAACCCATTCTGGGAGACACCGAAAACCACACCTCCTCCATCGGGCCCTCTCCCTCATGGATTCCCGCCTTGCGGCACCCAAGCCCCTGCGCGGGTCATTCACTCGGATGGGTCTGCGAAGGGGTCAGGCGGGGAAGAAATGCAGTGCTCTTGGGTGCCAAGAAAGAAAGGACTCTTCATGTCCAGGACAGTCTGTCATATAGTAATTGTACGTATGTAATTGTCAGGATTGGATGTCATGAATCATGACTTGTCTCTTGCTGTGCTATGGATGTCTTTTCCTGACCATTTTGGCTAAACATTTCGGTCTCGCTTGGTCTTCCTTCTGAGTGGTCCTCGTCGTGGAAAGCAGTGGAACAGGGATGGGATGCTGAGAGTGGTCATGACTGCCTTCCTTTTGCGCGGCCAAGGCGACCAAGGCCCCCATCCCAGGGTGGCTTTCTCGGAGATGCTGAGATGAATATCTGTATATCAAGCGGGTGGACCTTTCCAGCACCTGGAACAAAGAACCCCAAGAAACAAAGGCAACATCAAGCGCTATTTTCGCATGTCCTTTCTTTCCAGTCGCAAAAGGCTTTCCAGTCGCGTGGAACTTCTTAGAACTTGTGATTCCTTCCACTTCATGGTCCATTCTGCCAGACCCACGCGTGGAAGAAACACTCCACCGTACCGCCAAGAAAACGAACCGCGCCGAAGTCCACCGCCAAAAACCAACCGCCGAACGAATTCCGTCCGTCCGCGCCAGCGCCGTTGCCGCCGCCGTCGCCGCGGGCGTCCGCGCCTTCCAAACAGCTCGCCGGTCCTTGGCGGCCGAGGAAGCCTCGTCAAAGTTCTCCTTCGCCAGCTGGGCCTTGGAACCAGTTGGGTGGCGCAGCGGTCGGTTCGGCAAGGGGCCAACGGAAGAAGGGCCGAATTCTGGGAGGGTCGGTGGGAGAGATTCCGGCTTTCAACCTGGAGGATTCCTCACCTCCGAACGAAAGAGTGGATTCTTCGGTGTTCTTTTTTCAAGGCGTACAGCATGGGTGGCACGGACCCCGACCATCCCATCGCATCGAAAAGGGCCTCGGCCACCATCTGCAAAGCCGCCGACTGACCCATGATGCACTCTTCCTCCTGGGCGGCCGAAGCAACGCACGAACCGCCACCGGCTCACGCAAAACGACGATCTCCTCCGGTCGTGGACGACGGCCAGTATTCCAGCTCTCTCAGTATTCCACTGTGACCTCCATTTTCGGTTGAAGAAGTGAGATGAATCGGATAGATACTGAAGCTACAAATCATGGAAGGGCCGGAACCCCAGTTCCATGGACCCCTACAGCCTTCCTCCACACGGATTTTGGGCTCAGCTCCAGCTCCACAGACCATCCCACCAACCACCTCGCCCGGACACCGACCCCTCGTCTCTGGCCGCTCCTCGAAGATGTCGTGCGCCTCGGCGGCCACCTGCAGCATCTCCTCGGCACCTTTTCGAGCCGAGCCGTGGGCCGCGCGAGCCGCGCTCGAAACGGACCGCGGAGCAGCCGTTTTTCGTTGCGCAAACCGGTCGAGCCAAACGAAGATGCCGGAAAACCTCAAACCCTCCGGTCGAACCTCGAAAAACCCGCTCTGGGTCGAAGTCGACCCGACCATCGGGCGTCCGGGCTGCTGGTGGCCGAGTCCACGCCCAGAATCGACGCCTGGGGCCGAAGGCAGTGATAAAAGAAAAACGGGCGAAACGGGAGGAACTCTTGAAATCCAAAGGCCCAGTTCGCCCAGATTCGACGGTGTTTCGGATTGATCAGAGCTGGTTTCGTCGAGCCGAACGGTGGAGGCCGAACTGCGAAGACCTGCGAACACTGTGCCATGTGATGCCACGCGAGTTCCCTGGACCATGGAATCCATGGAATACCGGTCATCAAGACCGAGCATCGCGCCACCGACCGGCCGAGTCAAACCAAAAGCCACATCCAACGACCACTCGTCGAGTTCGATCTACCAGGAGCACCCTGTCTGGGTGTCCTGGCTGGACTATACGCCCACTACTTAAGGATCTCTCCATTGGACACCCAGACAGGATGGACAATCTAGGCTATTTTTAGATGCTTCTCTACATGTGAAGGTCATGCCACTTGAATAACCTGCCTCAACCAAAAGCATCAACAGTCCAACTGACCGTGTCCCCCATCGTTTCGCTGGATCTGATGGTCGGCAAAAGCTGAGGAGAAGACTTTGTGGATCAGTGCTTTGGCTTCGCCTGTCCTGGATGTGCAAGTGCAAAATCTCTCTCATCTTAGATCTCAGGCTGGGAGTTTCACATACCACAGTTTCTGACTGGCGCTAAGCTAACAGAACGAGAGAACGACCGTTGCATACGACTTAGCAAGCATCTGTAGTTCCAGGCCATCCTGTTCTGAGCCTTTTGGTAGAGGCCACGAGCTTTCTTCGCTGCGTTGAGTGCCTCTCAGCAGCTGCGGCGCCGAAAACTTCCAAGTAGCGAAGGATCTGAGGAGCATCACATGATGACTGGGTGATGACTATGCGTAACGCTTACTATGCGTGGCAGTCCAACATATACAAGTGCCAAGCACCAAAAAGAGGTGAGGTGGGGGGGGCTACATTCAAACCATGGTTTCGACTCCTTCGAACATGGACTCCTTCGAACATGGCTTTTCTCCTTCCCATCGCCAGTTATCAATACTGTACCTAGTGGTTTGCTGTGCTGGGTGTCCTGTCAGGTGAACCTATATCTCAGCAGTGTATATAGGGGCCCGTCCAGCCAGGTCACCCCGAACGCCGGTTAAGCAGCTGGTACCAATCTCGATCTGAAAAAACATAACGGCAAACACACCAACCGACCTGAAACGACCCTGCGACGGAGGATCCTTCGACCCTGCCGGTGACTTCTCCGGTGACTCCGACGCCTTCACCAAGGAGGGGCGGTCCAGGGTGCCACGAACCAGCAAAGAGAACATCAGGCACCTGAGCCAGTCCAGTTGGCCAGTTGTCATCCTTAGAAATACCAAGCTAAAGAAACACTGCTTCGCACATCACATTTGGAAGGGGGTGTTCACACCGTCGGTTTGAGGAAAGCAACATGAACGAGTGTTTCCCAAGGCCATGTTCCACTTCCATATCTTCCATCTTAGTGTCGGAGTGTATCTACTGTGAAAATTGGCTTGCCTATACCTTCTTTCTTGGGGCAGTTCATTCGCGTTTGACCCACTTAACATCCAGGAACTTCCTATGGGCCTATGGCATGTGTCCACCCTACGAAGCGATGGTGATTCCTGGTGCAAAATGAAATCCCAGAGCAACTGTCCACTTCCGCCTACTGCACTGCGGCATGTTGGTTGGCCTCGTGTCCGTACACGTGCACTGGCAGAGCCTCCAGGTTTGGGGAGCCCTCTGAGGTCAGCGACTCTGCGTCCCCTTCTGCCTTGGCATCCTGCAATTCCTGCCAAGAGATGGATCAGTGGAAAACACTGGGAAAACCCGACCTTCTCAGTGGACGACAATGAACCGTTCACCATCATTCGGACTGTGCAGGTGTTGCACCATCGGATGTGGCAAGAATGGGGCGCCCAGTGCTGGCCAAGGAGAAAACATGCCACCTCCTCCGAGTCCAATGCTGGTGAGTGGGTCGACGTGTGGTTTCACATGCGGCTCTAGAATCCCCCAATGATGTGCATCATGTGTATCTATACAATGGTAGTACTATCGAATTCACAGAAGAATGTATCTCTGTCGCCCACCGGATGACTTCCAAACATGTTGTCGTAGCCCACTCTCCACTTCTCTCCACTCTCCCCTCCCTCCACGCGTTCCACCGCCCCGTTCGTCCCGTCCTCAGCGATGGCGGCGGCATCCTCGGCGGCCTCCATGGCATCGGAGCGGCTCTGCAGCTGGACGTTCACCTTCCGGTCACGGCTGCGCGGCTCCGATCCCGGAGGGATTCGGAGGGAGAAGGTCAGGGACGCGCAGCGAACGGATCGCTTCGCGGAGAAAGCGGGTTAGAGGAAGGGAATTACTCCCTTCCAAGAAGGGATTGGATGGAGAAAACCCATGTCTTGACCCTGTGGGGATTGGGAGAACGATGTCATTGTTCTATGTCCTTGGGGGTTACTACAGCTCACGCCAGCTCACGCCCCGTGTCCCGGCGTTTCTTAAGGATCGTCACCGGAGACTACCCGAACTCCCGGCCCTGGCATCGACTGAACCGCCGGTTCGGTCTCCCATGTCGACTGAGCTAAGTGGTTTTCCACTTTCGAGTGGTTCGTTCGCTTCAGCCATGAACCGCGGATTCCTCGAAGATGGACCCCTTCCACATCGCCCAGAACTCGATGGACCGGTGAAGCACGACGCTGAACGGGTCCAACGCTGGGAACGAGGCGAAGGCTCACGCGTCACGAGGCTCACGACGTTCCTGATCTGTTGGGAACCTGCCTCCGCTTGCGTGTACTGCAGGTTCATTTCCAGGCGCTTATCCTCAGCGAAGTGGAAAGGTTGGACGTGCTTCAAGGAATGACCCTGTCCTGGCTCCATCGAAAGACCAAGAATGATCAATCCTGAATGGATCTCAACTGAGTGCCTGAACTGCACTCAGCCAATGTTTTGAACCTGCCGCTGCACTACCAATACAGTATACATCAGTATACAATCTTAGATTCTAAATGATTCTAAGAGGGGAATATCTTTCAGAAAATCTCAGATACCATCTTTGAACAGTTCCAGCAACAATCGGCGATTCTGGGCATCTCTTTGCCGCTTTGTCAAACATAGAGTCTGCAATAGAAAACCTTCATACCTTCAGGGTACATGGTCCTTCATATCGGGTTGGAGTTGTAGCCTTCACTCTTGCTTTCCAAAAGAATCCCTCTGACCACACCCACTGACACATCAGATCCACTTCCAGGGCACGCCCATCTCGCGGGCAATGTCGATCGCCTGCGAGACAACGGGAGGAGCTTGAAGCACCACCCATGAGGGGTGGGTTCAGGCCAAGCGCGAGGACTTGGTCCATCTGTTCTTTCGTGTGTGCTCGTGTGTTGGGCCACAACGGGCGCTGTGGAAGAGTTTTGACCTAAGGAGGCGTTACTCTGACGCAGCTGGATCTGATGGCTCCGGAAGTGGATCGGATGGATCTGATGGATCGCGATCCGTTCTGGGGAGCCACGAAAAGAGCCAGCCAGTCGGGCCAAACACAATACGAAGCCAACTCACTCGTCCAAAGACCCTTGGTCATTCTTGTGCAACAAAACCCGAGCTAGACATGAGTTGAATTCCAACTTAAACACATACACAGGCACGTCTTCTATCCATTTCCCCACTCCAAAAACTGCCTCATCCGTGGCCGTCAATGCCAACTCCGGATGGTCCCGCTTCAGCTGCGCCATCGCAACCACGACCAACCTCTCGAGAAGGCAACGCTCCGGCCGGCTGCGTGCTGTCAGCCGATCTGGAGTGTCCACATCACTGAACGTTGTGTGTGTTGTTTGTTATGTCAAAAAGACAGAGAAAGATGGGGCAGTACCACATGTCGGCCTGTCATCACCCCCCAACCTTTCACCAGAACAGACTCCGGTCCGGATGGTGACCAAGTCTGTGTTCTCAGGTGCATACTTTGCAGTGTTTCTCATCTGAACCGCCAAAGAAGTGGCCGCCATCCCTCAACTCCACTGAGTGCACGCGCCCATAGACATTGGCACGATCATCTACCTGCAAGGTTTCCAGTGGCATTGTCTGCGCCCAAGCAGGCAGAGATGGGAGGCCATGTTCACTCCTCCTAACGGGAGAGTGCGGTGGAAAGAACTTCTCCACTTGGCTAGCAACTTGTTTCTCTCGAGCCCGAGATCTAAACTCCAATGGGCTGCCCATATCTACAGCTGCCATGGTCGATGTCCAACCCCAGCACTGTTTGAACTTTGTTCACCCCCCCCCCCCACCGGTTTACAACGGGAGAACTCCCTCGTTCCAAAAACGGTCCGGGCTCGGCAACCGGGGGTGTCCGACCGGTCTTGAACGCGCCTTCTTCAGTCGATCTAAGCACTCCTCGGCAGCTTTGAGGCCTCTCCTCACCTTCTTGACCTCCACAGCGCAGAGAGTGGGTCACGGCGGAGGTGGAGGTCCAGTCGAGCCGGCTCGGTTTCTTTTGGGTCGACTGAGGGCACAGTGGGTCGGTCGGAAGAGGTCGGGGGGGTGGAGCGGTGGTCGGTGGTGTGGGTGTTGCCAAACCGGCGACGGTATGTTCAGGTGTTCATTTTTGGTTAGAAAATGCCAGACCTCCTCTAACGGTGTTCTGAACCAGATGCATAGCAACTGCTAGCTTGCAGCCCCAAAACCTCTCAATAGTTTCCTTGCTAGTTGATAGCCGTACGTGTTTCGCCAGGATGCTGGCTGATGTTTCCTGGCGTTTGGACATCCTGGAAGGCAGTGGTCGCACGGCTGCCCAAGCACGGTTCGCAAACGGTTTGTGGATCCTCACTACTGCTACTCAACCAATACTCCATGTATGAAAATGACTCAACCAAAAAACATCCAATACTCCACACATAGAAGTGGCAGTGCCCTTCAGATATTGTTTCAAAGGCCCCTGCGCCCACATTGCAGGAGTGTATGCTTCTGGGTCCGAGCTATGGCCGCGACCCCCGCGAGCGCATCCACCAGCAAGAGGCACGCACGTGCCTAGCACGAGGAGAGTTCGAGCTTGGAGGCTCATGGCAGGGGTAGGCCTTGTGTTTTTGGAACACAGGCTTTCGGAAAGAGGCGATTGCTGCCTGCTACAAAACATGGTTTGTGAGTACGAATGGATCCACAAAGCCACAAAATATCCGAAAACGAGGTCCGTCCAAGCACCAGCTGCTGTTTCTTTTTCGCCTCTTCCAGTGGCGGTGCTTGCAGCTCCAGACGCAGGGCCAGAGCCTCGCGTTTTGCGCAAAGAAGCACAAAATGGACACGAAACAACCAAGAAGTGATGTTGATTGAGGCACAACTGCTCCCCCCAAACAAGAAAAGAGAACATACCTGATACATCCTGATACCGATACCTGAATTTTAGAGAGGCTCTTCGGCTATGGAAAAGCTAAGAGGATCGTCAATACCTGCAGCTGGAGGTTGGAAAGCAACTGATTCGTTCCACGGGTTCAGATCTGTGCGGAGCCTGCCATTGACGACTAAGACTACCGGAAAGGGACTGATGGTCATCTGCAGTTGATGATAGTCAAAACAGGTGCTCTCTCCCCTTACGCCAAGGCCAAGGTACTGAAAGCACTATGGAATGTGTCAGTCTTGAGCTCAGTGGTTGTGCCTATGCAGCCTTCGTGCCTTCAGCGAATACCCTCCAACGATTCGAGGAAGACAAACATCTTTCAGAGAGAAGCTGTTCATCTCCAACGATTCGACCGACCGTGGCGTGCCTCTTTCGCCATCACCAAGGCCTTGTGGGGCTTCTCCTGATTGCTGACATCGCGATGCAAAACAGGTCGCTCCACAATTCGCAAAAAAAAAAAGGCGAAGTAGACTTGTGGACTCCAGTGGACTCCGGTGGCATATCGCCTGGCAGGTTTGGTGGGGCATACCGCCCCTACTTGCCCCGTTCCGATGCTGAAGACGTGCGCCTCGTTGAACAACGGCGGAGTGCCCACGCACCCGTTCCGAGCTCCACGAGTGGTGCAAGACCGACGGATCGATGTGGCCATGAATCGGAAGCAGGAAGGGCCTTCCCTAGAGCTCTCACATGGTAGCCCCGGGGTAGGCAAAATCCTCCTTCCAGAACCAGTTCACAACGTTTTGCCAAGAACATGGAAACTGCCAAGGCAAATTGGAAGATCCAACTTCCTTCAATGGTGGTGTACCAGTTTCTATCTTGCTTTTTGGAGGGACCCTCTCAGTGTAGCATGGGGAACTTGACCCGAAAGGTCTACTGCTTCGCTGTCCGCTTCACTCGTTGCAGCCACACCTGCGTGATGCTCCAGGACACCAGTGTCTCCAGGAGCACCGCCTCCGCCCTGGCGACGTCGGGCTTCGGCGGGCTTCTGCAAACGGAAAAAGACGTGTTCTGGGCTTCTTCCCCCAACTTCCCGATGGTTGGTTGGTTCAGGGAAAGGACTTCTGGGCCTGAGAAGGAGGGGCAGGGTTCTTGGCCTAGCCGTCGTTGAAAGACAGAACACATAGTGCATTCAGTACATGGATGCAAAAAGTCTGACTGGCACGTTTCAAGCCCGAAGCGATTGGCTGTCTTTCCAACCAACCCCTCGCCATCTTCACCTCATCAATCACACACCTCCAGCCCATGCACCTCCGTCTCACACCCCAAAAAACCATGGCCCTCACCTCTTGTCGCCCGAGCTGCGGATGAGCTCCAGTGCTTCCAATCCCTTCTTCGTGGCCGCCTCGTAGTCCTGGTCGCGCGCCGGAGGACGGACGGAGGGCTCGAGTCGAGGTCTCCGACCTTCGCCATGACGTGGGAGATGGCAATGGCGTGCAGCCTGCGCGGATCGCCAGGCGGCAGAGCCCGGTTGATATTGGCTGGTGAGGAGATGAAAGGGAGAACCCAAGGACAAAGAACGAGGAGAAAGGCCCAAAAGCTTCTGAAGAGTGGTTATATAAAAGTTCTGCAAGTACTGATTCATCTCATCAAAAGACCATGTCACATGCTCTGCCCGGATCTATCTCAACTCCATAGCGTTCTCCAACTGCTTTGTTTGAGTCTCTGGCGCTCTGCCCATACCCTGCTTGTCTCCCAACCTGGCTGCGGCAGGACTGGGGTGGCTCGTTCATCGCAGTCGGTTGCTCCATGTCTCCCATCGAAGAATCTCGCCAATTCGTCTGCTCACTTCACTCATGGACCTTTCCAGCGTAGACTTCCGAACGAACCAAACGAACACTGAACCAGAACTTGTTACAAAAGTAGGATTGGGACGGTGACAGTAGTGACAGTCCCAACACACCTCGAAACCATTCGACACCTACTAACCCTGTTTTGGGACTTGTATTTCAGCAAGTCCCAAGTTTACCCTCACAGAGATTTTCCGCTTCTTCCTCGCTTCCGCCCACCCAATCAGGGGGACTGGAACGTCTCCGCTTTCCCGTCTTCCTTTTCAGGTCACCGGACCGCTCAAGCAAGTCCAAGGCCTCACTGGCCGCCTGCCACGACTCCACAGCTCCGGTGGCGACGGTGGGCCGTTGACTCCATGGAGGAAGGAGTTGGGGTGCCCAGGTCACATCCACGGCCCCGGAAGATGGGACATACCACACCACCCAGGCCCTCCATGTGACTCCTGGATGGTTGGTTTTCTCATGGCTTCAGATGGAAGAATCTGTCTTCCTCCAGATGATGTTTCCATCGAAACCTACAAAACTACACTGTTCCTTGGGACGTTTCGATGTAGGGCAGGTTTCGATGTGCGCTTCCGCAGGTTTCGTCGACCTCCACCGACCGAAGACCGACATAGCGGTCACCGACCTGGAAGGCAGTCTTGGGCGATGCACCTGGACGGTCAACGACGAGCCGTCGGTCGGAGAAGCACGACGAGAGCTCTTCACGTCACTGCAGCGGAACTCGCATCGGACGAGTGGAGAAGAAACAGCGCTCTGAACACGTTCGTGCCCAGTCCAGAAACAGCCGGAAACTTGAATGTACGAACTAACCACTGAGCTGGGCCCAACATGCGAACCCGAAGAATGAAATACAAGGTGTTGTTTGCACACAAATGGAGGAGGTCGTCTTTATCAGGTTGGTCGAATGTCCTAGCTATACTACTGAACCCCAAAAGGCTTCTATGAAAAAGACAGCTTGCCAGCGCCTTCAACTCACATTATATATGTGGCTTAAGCACTGTTGTCACCCATCTCGCATGGAAAAGAGTGTGTGTACTCTCGAAGAGGATGTTTGAAAGACTCCACCGTCAAACATGAAAAGGAATCAGACGCGACACATGTGGCCCAACGGGCAAAAAGAAAGTGTATCGCTTTTCACCTCAAAATGGACCCTCCCACTTAGCAGAATCTTTGGTTTTTTGAACCTTGACACAGCAGCAAGGCGATCTCCAACTTCGTCAGCCTCAGACGAAGGGAGCGAGATCGTGTGGAGGTTTGTCGTCACGAACCATGAACCCGTCAAAGCTGGTGCCCCACAGAGTTCGCTGGACCACTTCATGCACGCCCAGTTATAGCGATAGCGATAGGTGGGACGCACACCAGAGGCGCCTCCAGTTTGGCGATCCGCTGGGGGGGCCGAACGTGACGCTCATTGAACCCTGCAGACCGGCGGGTGCGGTGCGAACCGGGGCGGTTAGCATGGTTGATCTCTGGCCTAAAAAAACCAAAGAGACGCATACCAGCTGCTTCCGGCCACGGGGTGACCTGGCTGGACGGGCCCCTACACTGCTTAAAAAGGTCATCAGACAGGACACCCAGACAGGAAGCGCTAGGTATATACCTAGATACTTTCGGTGCGAACCTCTTCCTGGAACTTCCAGGAACATACCTTTTGGTCGCTCCTCCTGCGCAGCCCACTTCGGTCGATGACATGACATGGTCCGGAACTGGGCCTTTCGACGCCTCTTCGGGGCGTCTCGCCCTCCGAAAGACCCTCGAACCTCCCGTGCCCTCGGTGGACGTCTTCGTGACGAGTGGAGACCCCCACCTTCTGCCGCGCGCCACGAGAGTGGCGTGGACGCCGTGACTGATGGGCGCCCCAAACGCGTGCATCCGGCTTTCGCCCTTCGATTGGAAAAGCTGCAATGCCTGGCGGGCACGCGGGCGGTCGAGGAGGCAGGTGCGGTCGAGAGAGATGAAAGTTGCGATGACTCCAGAATGACCAGATCCCCAAGGCTTCTTCGACTATTAATTTAATAGTCTTCCCGAGGCCGACATTTTTAGTCGTGACGGCGACTATTTTTTGGACCTATAAAGGTTCTGGCCCAGGTTCTCCAACTTGCGTTTAGAGGCGGTGCGTGCGTCGCAGGTGTTCGGGTCCAAGATGCCCCGGATCATGATCATCGACGCTCATGTTTTGGGGGCTCGACGAACACTTTGATGACTTCAGTTTCGATAGACGAGTCCTCTAATTTCTCAACGTTGGTACCAGGTGAACGTTCAGGACACTTCCGCTTTTCAATTCCCATCCAGCCATGCGGGCTGCTTTTGCTCACCGGCTCATGGAGCAAACGATTTGGGAGTCAGGTGCCTCCCTTTGGATCGTGAAAAACAGATTGAACCTGACAACCAGTGAGCTGACCTTGTCTTTGGATTGACCCACTTGGCCCGCTTGGCTGCCATTTACAGTTTTTTGTTGCCCGCTCACTTAGATTAGGGGTTGACGATGAAGGAGGAAAATCACCGAATACACATGCACACACACATGCAAACAGCATGCATTTTTTGACCTCACCAGCGCAGCAATGTCAAGATATTCGCGACAGTCCATGGCCAAACGCCGCCGTCCCGAAGTCATGCAACTCCTGGAGGCAACATGTCAAAAGCAGGGCCATGCATGTCATTGGAAAGCGTGCCACAAATATAATTGTTATATATCCCCGCCGGCCGAGTCAGGACTTCTATGAATCGATTTTGGTGCCTGACTTTATCCGCCAACGACGTTCCGATATCAGAAAACAACTTAAGTTGGAGGACAAGGACTACCGGGCCACTTGGACAAATTTTTGGGGCGTTTCCATGCATGTGCGCTTTGAGAGGTTTTGCATAAAACCTGATCGAGCGAACATGTATGCCAAAAATCAACGCGTTAGGTGTGCAAATTTTCCTTCGTCGACATCGCTGAGAAACAAGTCGGTGAGAAACAGGCCGGCCCTTTTTTTTGAATACTAAATCATGCCGACGTAGTACGTACTATTAGCTTTGCAACTTGCACCGCGTACAGCTTGCAGGTGGTGTCAGACACTAACTTCAACCTGGTCGCAGAGTTTCTGGCGACCTTTGTTGGGGAGTTCAGCTCGCTGCCCCGGAAGATTGAAATGGAGGCAAACATATATAGCCAAGAATTGCCAAGAATAGATGTATAGACCATTGGTGTGACACACTGTGTGTGTGTGCGTTGTTTGTGTATGCGTGTGTGAGTGAACCGCTGCTAGCCGAAGCGATCGAATTATATATGCAGGCAGTGATGATGGATATGTCAAAGAAGTTCAAGCTCAACCCGCAGTTCCGTGAGGACTTTGAGCACGAGGTCCGGAGATTCAGCTGCACATGGTCTGCAGCAGCCATATATATATATGCAGTATAGCAGGCAGGTCTATCGGCATATGCGTTATTTTATGTTACGCATGCTGTATCAGGCCTGGGCGATGATTGAAGCCGGCCTTCATCGAGCTTTGTTCAGCTATTGTTGCAACAGATGGAACAAAAACAAGGGTGTGAGGTGGGCAGTGGGAGCCAGTGCGTATGCTAGCAAAAAATGTACTTGCATGCGACATGATTTTAAATTGTATACAGGTCGAAAGCGACTTGTCCGCGGATGAAGGAGATCAAAGATATAATCCATGCCAAGCTGGAGGCGCTTCGGTCATATAAGCCGATAAACCGCAACATTAGCTTCGCTGTGACTCACGCACATCCACGTGCAGTTCAATTACTCTAGCTCTGCATGTTCAGGCAGGAAATAAGTTGAAAGAGAACGGGAATAAGATTCCAGAGCGGGGCCGCTATGCAACTTCCTGGAGCAAGGTTCGCTCGTGTCAAAGCATGGTTAAAACAACGCACGCGATAGACCATGATGTGTGCGCCGCATCGATTTCTGGATGGATACATATATATAGCCCTGCAGGAGAGCATTGCGTCAAGCTCCGTGACAGAGCTGGAGGTCGATCAGCACATGTTGATTGAGGCAAGTACATGACGCGTCCAACACGTTCTTGCTGTGCTGTGCGGTGCGTTTTTTTCGACCTGTGCGCGTGTATAGGTCCGATTCGCTCATAGTGCAGGTCTCTGATGATGATCAAGCTGAAGGTATCGATTTCGATTTTCATGACCAGCCACATGGGGACAACCCAGAGCGCTATCCAGACAACCAGCTAGGCCTGTCTCAAAGTGAAGATGGTGATGGGGCGGGAGAGGGAGAAGAGGAAGAGGAGCAGGAAGAGGAGCAGGAAGAGGAGCAGGAAGAGGAGAAGGAAGAGGAGAAGGAAGAGGAGAAGGAAGAGGAGAAGGAAGAGGAGAAGGAGGAGGAGAAGGAAGCAGAAGAGGAAGAAAAAGAGCGGCAGGAACAGGAGCAGGAAGAGGAAAAGGGAGATGAAGGGGGGGGAGACGAGACAAAGCGAGACAAAAAGGATGAAGAGGAAAAAGATGACGCAGAAAGAGATTCGGAAGAGGTGGGGCTTCTAGCGGGCATGGGTCTATACGCGTGCAAGCTAGCTAGCACATGACCAGTCCTGGGCATCGATACGTGCGCGCGCTCCACCCTGAGGAACTACCCGCAAGCCAAGGAGCGGCAGAAGCTACAGGCCACCAGGCAGACAGCAAACTTAATTAACATGTTTCGGACCGTCAGCCGATGGTCGTCTATATACCTATAAGCTACTACACTGTACGGCGGCCGCCGTTGACTGGGCAGGACCGCAAACCATTGACATCAACCTTAGCGCACGAGGGTAATTGGCAAGAGCTTGCAGAACAGGCCAAGGCGATGGCTCGGAGAATCAGTGAGGAGTTTGGCAATGAACGCACTTCGGATGTTGTGAAGGCACGCCTCATGTCATCATGCGTATATGTCATATGATCATCTTTCGTTTTAATCAAGCGATCGGTCCAAAAACCTCCAGAGCTCTCCATCGATCGACTATAGTGCTAGTACGTGTCGGCCTGGTAGGCACAAAGGGTTCTGAGGAAAACGTTGAAGCGCAAGCCTGAAGACGACTTAGGGGACACGGGACGACCCGAAGATGAGGATGAGGACCGAGCTTATAGAGATAATCAATCGGATGAAGACGCAGAGGCAGCAGGGAAGACAGCGAGGGGGCGAGGAAATCGTGGCCGAGGACGCGGACGTGGTAGAGCTGCAAGCGCCGGTAGGGGCCGAGGTCCAGGGCGCGGTCGCGGAACACCAGAGACTGGGCGTGGGCGTGGCAGATCCAAGAAGGTGACACCCCCTTCAGCTCGCAAGAACAGCAGTTCTGTCACACGTACTCCCACGCCCAAGCAGAAGACACAGGCAGAGGCCACTGAGTCAGGTAATAAGGAGTCGAATAAGAATGTCAAGAAGGCCAATCCAGGTGATCATGAGGACAAAGGTAAGAGTGAGCAGAAAAGAAGAAAGATGGCCATCGATGCGGTCTTACCAGACGACTCACCAGAGGCTGCACACACGGTGTTTTGAGCACACGGCATGTAGCTATGCATGTCGAGTATGCATATACTATTATGCGTATATATATGCAGTATCTTCAATTCAATTCATGGTGATGTTTTTTCATGGTGATGTTTATCGGCTCGATGATTTCGGATTCGATATGTGCTCGGCGGTCGGCAGGTTGTGAATTGGAAAAAACTTGACCCTTTGTGTGAGCTGTGCCAATTCGTTCGCGCCGCAAGACCTGAGCTTCCGCTGACCAAGAAGCACATGCCTTGGTACATGTGTGATTCCAAAAATATATTATATAGCGTAGGGGACTGCCTAGTTTGTGGCGCAAACTTAGGTCATTTATTGTGCCAGTACCTGAAGACGCTGAGACGGATCATCCTTCTCCCATTCGGGTTTTGCGGGAGACCTAGCGCTAGACCTGATCCACCGGTATATGTACTATAAAATTCGACTGGCACCCGTGGCTAGGCTGACAATCGGTGGCTACTATGTCAACCGCACTCAGCCCGACCTCGTGGCGGACATCAACCGGGCCGAGGAAGTCACACTGAAGGTAACGGAGATCGAGACACAATCGATATCGATCGAATTATATTCGCGAATCTCGATCATCATGAATGGGGCGGATATTTTATATCGTGCACGTTATTTAGACCGGCCTGCTGTGAGGAGTGTCCCGAAGCTAGTATATAAATCACTCGCTACTATTCGTGGTTCTCATGCATGCATGTTTTCTGAGATGATAGTTCTCTGGACATCGGAATTTGCAAAGCACGAATTCTCATATATATGACATTGATCGGTCGACAAAATGAATCTTGTGCGCGCAGGTGGATGGTAAACAAGGATGCTCCATCTGTTGGGGGACCAACCATGGACCCAAATTTGCGTCACTGTCCTACTGCTGTGCGTATTTGGTAGATCAAGTCCAGGGAAACCCGCCCTGTCCTGCAATTCTCGAAGCCAACCGCCGAGGTGGAAGTTGGCAGTCCTGGCAGCCGGATGGATGAGTGTTGACTACTGCGGGCGGCCATGGGAGGATGCTGAAGTTGTGCCGGAACCACCAGAAGATGTAGAGTAGCCAGTGAGTGAACAACATGATCCGATGCTTTCTTCCGGGGTAGCTGGGCCCATGGGGCATGCTGCCAATGCGTGTAAGCATTGGCTGGCAAGCTAATTTTGAAAGCCTGACCGTCCTGACCGGTCGACCGTTTTGGAGTGCCGGAGAAACAAACCCGCATGCTAGTTAACCTCGTGAATGAATCGGGTTCCTGCATGGTCAAGTGTGATGTCATGATTGCTCGCAGCACAGCCAGCTCTCGTCATGATGCTAACAGTTTTTGGCTCATATTGTGTGGTGGTTTCAACCGGGCTTTCTTGGACATAGGCCAATCGCCAAGGATGCCTGAACAGGAAGCCATAGACTTCG